AATGGGTTGGCAGGGCTGGTTCCTTCTGGAGACTAAGGTAGAACCTGTGTCCTCACCTTTTTTAGCTCCTGGAAGCTGCCAGCATTCCTTGGTTCACGACCCCTTCTTCCATCACTCCAACCTCTTGCTCCCATGGTCACAACTCCTACTACTGACCCTGACCTTCTATCTCCCTCTTGGAAGAACCCTTGTGATTACATTGGGCCCACCCGATAGTCCAGGAAAATCTCTCAACCTCAAAATCCTTAATTTAATCACATCTGCAGCGGCCCTTTTACCATATAAAGTAACATACTCACAGGTTCTGTCTGGGGACTGGGCTGTCTTTGGGAGCCATTATTCAGCTCACCACAGAGGGTTAGTGAGGCTCATGGGGACATACCTGGACATCCCCCTACAGGCAGTAATCTTAAATTGCGTGTATTCAGATATGCTTGTTACATTGCTAACCATCATCTATACCTCCTATTCCTCCCCATCCTGCCTGGGGAGGGGTGTCTCTGGCTCCTTCTGGGCTTCCTATGTGCTTTGTTCACGTTTCATACACTGGTGGCTCTCTGGGATGATGTGACAAAGGTCTTTCTAGTTGTTATTATATACTTTCTGTACTCCTCTAATACATCTCTACGTCCATATCCTTGAAACTAAGTAAACCATTCATCTTCGTGTGCTGATGTGTATGTGACCCAAGGCCCTGGGACTATCTGGGGGATCCATGCAATTAGATCTTTGAAGATTTTGAACTTCTAGCCTCTGGAACTGTTAGACAATAAATTTCTTTTGTTTTAAACCAATGAGTTCCTCGTACTTTGCTGCAGCAGCCCTAACAAATGAATACAAATACGTATTGCCCAATTGCCCTCTAGAAAGGCTGTATAAGTTTAAATTCTCCTTGTAATAAACTGTCTTTATGCACTTGCCTTTTATGATTGGTGAGGTGTCATAACTTTTCCTATGTTTGCCAACTATTTGTGTGTCTCCCATGAATTGCCTGTTTATACCTTTTGCCCATTTTTCTATTGGGATGTTCATTTTATTTCTTATTAGCTTGTAAGAGATGTTTTCAAGTTAGAAACATTGACCCTTTCCCATTTAGGGACCAAATATTTTTCCCCATTTAGGCATCTATCTGTCACCTATGTGTCTGGTTTCTCTTATCCTTCAGAAACTTTAAAAAAGTAGAATCAGATTTATCAATGCTTTCTTTTATGTTTTTTGGTTTTGTAGCTAACTTAGAGAAAGTCTTTCCCTACCCATGATAATTTAAAAAAGAAAATTATCCATATTTTCTTCTGGTACTTCTATAATTTCATATTTTAAAGTTAAATCTTTGCTATCCCTGGAATGTGTTTTCCTGTGAGAAGCGAGATTGGAATCAGGTAGTTTTTCAAAGAGACTGGACAGTACCATGCAATGAAGAATCCATCTTCTCCATGCTGATCTGAAATGCCACCTCTATCATATCCTAAATTCCCAGTGTACTGGAGTCTATTTTGACTCTATATTGTGATCACTGTCACAATTATCCTGACTGTAGTAATCTATTCACTTGTCTTTATCCCCACTGGACTGTGAGTCACTTGAAGACAAGAACTGGGTCCTGTTCACCATCGTACTCGGTAACCGGCACAGAGGAGGCACTCAATAAATACTTGACCAAATACCTGACTACTAACAGATGGTGTCATGAGGCACCACTGCTGCTTTTTCCTGGGGTGTCCTGGCTCCCAGTGCAGACACACAACCACCTCTCATCTCCCATGGAGGATATGCACGCAAAGGGACAGCTCAGAGGTGGTTAGACAACGGAAGGGAGGCTCCTGCTCCAATGGCCAACTCTTGCTTGCATTTCCAGCTAGGTGAACTCCCAAGAAAGCTACCTGAGCAGGAAGGCACATGCAGCAAGGCCCTGGGCTGATATTTTACCCATGGCATGGGATGGACAATGATTGTAAGTCTCCATGGGGAAACACTAGACCAAAATATTCCTATTCCAAAATAGGAACTGGGTTTTTTTTTCTTTCAACTTAAGGTAGTTTGATACTTTGAACCATAGGGCAATGAAGTTGTTGGACTTGATGTATGGGGCTCAATAATAAGGGAGGTGAGAGTTTTCCACCCAAGTTATGGCACCCTGTTTCCAGGTCGTCAGCAGCCTGGTACAGTGGAAAGAGCCGCTCAGTCTGCAGCTGGGAGGACCTCACTCAAATCTGAGTTTGCCAAATCGAGTGCTCTTTCCACTGTATCAGGTTGCCCAACTGTGCCCTACGGTTCAAGATATCAAACTACATTATGTTAAGCTTCCAGGCCTCCACCCTTCAGTGGCCATTCCCTCCAAGGTGCCAGCTGCTACCACGAGGGCTTACTTTCACACTGAGAGCTTCCATCCATTGGTTCTGGTTCTATGTTTTGATGCCACACGATACAAGTGGAACCTTCCTGCCTGTGTTAGCAGTTTTGTGATTAGAAGGCAGAAACCACAGCCCCTTTAAACATTATTTCTGCCCATATAGCCCCATACAGCCCTTTCTTCAACTGTTGCTCATGGCAGGGATTAATTGACACTTGTGAAGTGGCACAAGGGGTAAGACCCTCATTTTATTCAGATTTGGATGGCTTAGTGGGAAGAACAACACAGCCGAAGCTGTGTGCTGCCTGGCAGGATATTGACAAGGATGTTGAATCATAGGGTGAGGAGGGGCCTAGAATCCCTTCTGAGTCTCCTCTAGAAGACTGATGGTCTGATGGTCTCTGGTTCTGTGGCTTTAAGAGGTGAATGTCTTGTGTGTCCAGCCATGCTCCTTGAGAGGTCAAGCTGGACCAGAATCCTGAGAAAAGGAAAGCACCCAGATGACCACAAGAGGGCCCCCTCCATTCTCCTGGACCGCCCTCGGGGCCTCTTTAGTTACCCAGACCGGCAGCTGGCATTTCAGATGTGCAGACAGAAGGCCAAACACGACCACCCGGACTTCCTGCCCTCCTCTTGTAGCGGAAAGGCAATGGTGGAGCCAGCGGAAGAGTGTGGGTGGCAAGGAAGTGGGCAGGTCCAGGTGCCCTGGTGTGGGGCCTAAACTGCTCTCAGGCCTCCCTCTGCCGACACATTCACTCCTGGTCAGCCACACAGCCACCTGCTGCTCTGCAGACACTCTGGCTTGGTCTTTTCACATTCACTCCACTTGGTGAGCTCCCACACATCCCTCAAGGCCCAGTTCAAATGCTACTACTGGGACCCTCTCAGCCCTTCCACTTCGGTGCTCCCAGGGCCCCAGCATTCATTGCTTTCAGTAGTAATTACTTCTGTGCCATTCCCTCCTGGAGAACATGGGCTCCACCCAGGACTATGACTTGCTCAGCCCTGAGTGGAGACTTGTGAGCACAGGGCCTGGCACAAAGTGAAGGGCATTGAACTTCACCTGCATTGTATTATGTCTTCACCTTCCTCCTACAGCCTGAGAGACTTCCCTGAGGGCAGGCGCTGGGTCTGATTCTTCTCTCTGGCCCTCGTGCTGCCCAGCACAGGGCCTGGCAAAGTAGGCCCTCACGTTTGCTAGAATGAAGTTGCCTCCTTTGGTGTATGTAACTCACTTCTTCTCTCAGTGGGTTACCTGGCTTCTTTTTTCAGTCAACATATATCTATGAGGCATTTTCTCTCATGCCCAGAACTGTGCTGGGTGCCGTGGTTGGGGAGGGTAGTAGAGGAGGACCCCTGTCCCAGTTGTGGAGAGCAGATGATAACAGAAGAGAGACTCATGGCACCATCCCTGAGGCACCTCAATGTTCATCAGTCAAACTCTTTTATTTTACAAATGAGGAAATTGAGGCTCAGAGAGGAGAGGATTCACGTAGGAAGTTGTTTGCAAACTGAGCCTGGAATTCTGATCTCCCGACACCCAGGCTTGGACTTGCTGTGCAAAGAGCATAGTGGGCAGCAGTAGTTCTAGTAAGTTCTCTGTGTCACAGCTGAATAGGGCCATCCAAAAGGGTTAGGAAATCATTTATTGGATAAATCATTGGAACCCAAACTGAAGAGTCACTGCTTTGGTAGCAGAGGACGAGCTCTACCCACAGAAGCATTTATTTGCTTCTCAAAAGATCTTTTAAGTTTGCTTATAGGGAGGTTTTTGAGCCACTAAACTTTGGATCAAGTCTTTCTTATTAGAAAGAGCACAGGCTTTGCACATGGGCAGACCTGGGTTCCATGTCCTTCCCTGGCTGTGCAGGGTAGATTCATGATGTAACCTCCCGGAGCTTTGACGTTCTTACCTGTAAAATGGAGATGATGACCTTCCAGGTAAGTAAGCTGAGGTGAGATCAGGCATGTATAACGCTGGTTTCCGGCCCGGGTCCCCAGCAGGTGCTCAATAATGGGGTTTATCAATTCCGCGCTGCTGACGCTGCACATCTCCCAATTCCAAGTCCAGTGATGTCCTGTTAGTAGCTTGAAATCGGCCATGGTGGGAATATTTACATCATGGAAATTAGCAAACACTACAAATCAGGAATCGTTTCTTCCCCAAGAGCCACTTGCTAAACATTTACCAGCCATCTGAGGGTATCATCATTATTGCTGAGAATAACTTGTTTGCTCCGAGCAGACCCAGTGCACATCAGTTTGTCTATTTTTACTGATGTGACTGCTGATTTCAGTCAGAACGGTCAATTCAACAAAATGGTTGATTGGTTTCCCCACCCCGGCCCCCATTTTAAGAGCTGTGAGCCTTGCTGGGAATTCTGTCTTGTAGTGTTTTGGGGAGAGACTCAATTCAGTCAAAATAGTCAACTGGACCCATTTCTTGATGCAGCCTGTTATACACCCTTAGACACAGGAGGCTTTCCCGCGCCTCCCTGAGCAGAAGCTGGGTCAGCAGTTCCAGGGTTCCCCCAGGTTTTGGAGAGCTGCTCTCCTTGTGGGATGGTGTGTTGGTCACATGTGAGCTGGTTTCTTACCCAGGTCTGTCTCTGGGTGGGAGTGGGTCCTCCCATCCTCTGGAACTCCGGGAATGCTCAGGGCAGGCTTGTCAGTGGGGACACCCCCATCTCGCCTACATACTGCCAAGTCTCCACCCCAGGGCCTGACCCCTCCACACCAGGATGGTCCTCAGGTGGCCTGTGCTGAAGCACAAGGGACAATGAGAAGATTCTGGCTCCTGGAAAGCCTTCAGAGGAGCCTCCCTGGAAGAGGCATTGCTTGCCTGGTGACGGTGTCTGGGCCTCTCCCCCGTGGGCTGAGCAGAAAGGGGAAGTGTGGTCAGGCTGGCGCTCGCTGCTCCGGGGTGGGAGGAAAGCCTGTGGCCGAGGAACGTCTCTCACCAGCTGCACCTGAGCCACAGCACTCGGCACACTGCTCTCTCCTCAGCAGCTCACATCTGGACACCCTGGCGGCCCAGGTAAGCATCTGAGCATGGGTCTGTCTGAGTGACCAACTGGGCTGGGACTGGGGGATTGTAGCTGGGCCTTGGCACAATGGCTGGGTGGAGTTGGAGAGACACTGGCCTTGAAGAATCCACTCTGCCGGTCACTGACTGGGTGACCTCAGAATTACTTCACCTCTCTGAGCCTCTATTTCCTTGGGTGTGATGAAGAAGCTTACCTCTCAGGTTGAAATGACATAATGACTGGGAGTGAGTGTGTCTACTGTAAAGGGGTTGTTCTCACTCTCTGGATTCTGAGGGTGAGGTTGGTAACTGTTATGTGAGAGGACCCTAGTGGGCCTGTGCTGGAGTGGGGGTGGGGGTCGAGACATTGACCCCATGTGAACTTCGGGCTACATCTGGGAGCCCTTGGATGAAGGACCTGGAACACCACCAGCCTTGGTGACTTTGTCACTGTCTTGGACATTCAGGGATTTGCTTATAAGGCATCCTGCCTTCCAGAGGCCTCGGGATCAAGGTCTGTTGGGCTGCGGTCAGATCTCAATCCAGCCACCTGCTCTTGCTCTCTGGAAATTTACCACAAAGGAGACCTGGTTTCGGCTTTGTCGGTTTCACTTCTACCTTCTCACGCATCATTTGTCCCTAAAGTCACTCCTTTTCCTGGCTCTTTGCATGCATGGACCACTGAGGGAACATCGAAAGTGGGATTGCTGAGCCTGGAGCAGACAAGGCCTGGAGCTCCTTTTTATTTTTTTTTAGAATCTTTTTTTCCTTCCCTGAAAAGTGGAAAACTGTAGAGAAATGAGGAGAACAATGACCTCAAATTCCACCCCTTCACAACAACCGTGGTAAAGAGCTTGGTGTTTTGCCTTCTAGTCTTTTTTTCGTAGGTGTGGATATTTTGAAAAGTTATCATTGTTTTATTTTGTCAATGTAAATACATTCCAGAAGTAGAAATACAAACTTCACTGCTGTCATCAAGGCACAGGCATCCCTAGTCCCCTCCACCCACTTAGGACAGCAGCGTTTTTGCCAGAGGGCCTCTGAGTGACAGGTTTTGAGTTCTCCTCTACATTCTTAGAACCAAATGAATAAGAAAAGTAAGCACCAGCAAGAGACAATTTGGTTGGACCCAGGGAAGGACTTCTGGGTTATAGAAGTCCTGAGATAAACTCACTAGGAATCTTGAATAATCTGCAACTCTGGAAGGTTCAGCTAAGGGCAAACACATAACACCAAACATCTCAGAAATACTAGAAAAGCAACCGATTTGGAGTAGGGAGCAGAAGCTCTTTCAAGATGTGATACCTAAATTTTTGAAAATGTGCTTATTTTATGCTTCTCAGCAAGGCTGGGTGGTAGGGAAAGAAAGAAAGCTCCTGCTCTCACACACTAAAAAATCCAAATCATTTTTCCGTGTTTGTCTCCCAGTTGTTTCTAGCACATACTCAGGTCACGTTATGTGAAGATGTGGCTGCAGCACAGACGGAATGTTGTATTCTGCCTTTTTCATTTTATGTGGTGTCCCAACAGTCTGCTCACGATGTTTTCTTCCTATGGCCTAATTGCTGCATCCTATCCCATCAAGTGGCCCTTCTGGAATTTTCTTCCTCAATCCCCCACTGTTTGCTAGGTAGCTCCCTGTTTATCTATACTGAGGTAAACATATTTATGCATTTAGCTTTTACTTCCTTTGGATTACTTCTTAGGCTAAATTTCTAGAAATGATATTATGGAATCAAAGGATATGACCATTTTTTAAATATATTACCATTTGCTTTCAAAAAAAAAATTTTTTAAATCATTGTATACTGCCACTGGCCTGTGGGAGGATCCGTTTCACCACAGCGTTGCCAGAATAGGATTTTATCATTATTTTTCATTTTTGCTAACCAATAGATGTAGTTTCTATCTGTGGGCAGACAAATATGCCCGGGGAGCAATAAACTAGGATGGGTGAGTGTGTACAGAGTTGAGTCCTATAATGAAATAAATCAGACACAAGATTAACCTGAGAGTGTTACCCTAACGGTGGGATAAGCTATCACACTGAGGGAGGCGCATCAATCACCATGGCTCCGCATGGCCACAAAGGGCGTGGTCACTTCACTCTCTGCTTAGTTCTCTTGGATTTATACTCAGCCTTTCACAGAAATGGGAGGATAGAGAGAGGGAGAGGAGAGGCTGGACTCATTTTAATGATGATGCCCTGCCCTTCCCCGTGCACACTTGGATTTTAAGTTGCCATCAACTGTCCACGGCCATTTCAGGAACTGACATCAGCGAGGAAGTCAGGTGGGAAGTTGGCCTCACGGAGCATTGGCAGTGACAGTCTGGGAACTAGAGGTGAATTTGGGCAAGAACTGCTCATGCTGACTAGCAAGTGTAGCCCAAATATTATCTACAGCCTCCCACACCCTTGAGATCTAGGTTGAGAGCAGCTCAAACCCTCGTTCCACGCACTGCAGAAGCCCAAAGCTCCCCAAGACTTCTGTGGGTTCCCCAGGAGGCCGCCTCTTTCCCACGGTTAGCACTGTACTCTGAGTCCCCGCGAGTGAGCCTCTGTTCCATGCTGCACTGACCCAGGGGTGAAACTCAGCCCCTTTCTTGGTTCCCCACAGTCAAAACAAAACTGCTCACCAGAGCATTGGCAGATGCAGTGAACTTTACTAAAGATTGGGCAGGGGCCACAGGAGAGGTTTCTAATGCAGCAGAGTAAACAACTGCACACTGAACGTAATATGGCCCTGTTCTTAAAGGGTCTTGGCCACACCATCCCTGAGCACTTTCCACCAACTGCTTCTCACGCCTTCATACCATCTGGCTGGCTCTCTTTCCTCTCCTCCCATTTCTTCTCATCCTCCTCTCCCCTAGAACCCCAAGTCCCCCACCAATACCCAGAAGAATTCAATAGTCTCCAGTTCCTGCCAGCAAGCTTCATTCCCTGCACAGCCAGCTAAGTACTTTAAAGGCAGCTCATTCTATTTTTTATTTTTGTTTTTTAATGAGATATAATCAACAGCAATAAAACGTGTGTCTTAAGTGTACAGTTCAATATATTTGACAATTGTATATACTCTGTAACCATTGCCCAAAATAAGATGTAGAAAATTCCATCACCCCAGAACGTTCTCTTGTGCCCCTTTTCAATCAGACCCTTTCCTCCCCATGGCAACTGCTCTCTGATTTCTACCACCACACGGTAGTGTAGCCCATTCCTGGACTTCATATAAAGAGTCCACGCAGATTGTCCTCATCTGTATCTGGCTTCTCTCACTTAATTTAATGTTGTCAGGATTCATCTAAGTTGTTGTGTGTATCAGGAATTCATTCTTTTAAACTTCTGGGTAGCATTTCATTGTATGAATACACCAGCCTGTTTATCCATTCTTCTGTTGAATTCCATTCTATTTTTACACAGTTTTACATTTTTGGAGCTGACATCAGTAAGTACAACATGCCCAGATGGTTGATCCTAAGAATCTGAGTATGAGCAGGGCAAAGGGGGAAAATTTCAAGTGGGAGAACAAGAAAAAGAAAAAGCTGAAATTCATTTTAATAATACATTTAACTTAACCCAATATATCCAAAACATTATGATTTCGACATGTAATCAATATAAACGTTTATTAATGCGATCTTTACATTCTTCTTTCCACACTGTCTTTGAAATCCAGTGTGCATTTTACACTCACAGCACATTTCAGCTCCAACTAGCCTCTAGAATCTGCTCAGTAGCCTCACGGGGCCAGTGGCTGCTATCAGGGACAGTGCTGGCATCAGGTATGCAGATCTGTGTCCAGGGCCACACAGCCCTTTAATGACAGAGAGCAAGGAGCTGAACTCAAATCCGGGTCTCCCCATCTTCCTACTGAGTGGTTTGCAAGTCTGCCTTTTCCCACAGAGACTTGTTTGAAGTCTCTTCCAACTCCAACTTTCTGAAACTCTACTGTTCCCCCCATCCCATGCATACTACCCACACCTTTTGAGACTCATGGCTGTTTCAGATCATTTATTTTTCATGAGAGGAGCTCAAGTTTTTCAATATACAGGACATGACCATTAGTGGGTTTTGGAATAAATTTAGGGGCTTACACTCAGTTCTTTTTTTCATGAAATAGGCTAAAATAGGAGAGCAAACGTTGGAGTGCATCATGTCATCAAGACATTTTGTGAAACTTATCTCATCTGTGTGAATATATGTGTAACTGCCGCATTGCAAACTGGATTTCTTACTCGGAGGATCTTGGTTTAAAAAAAAAAAAAAAAAAAAGCAAATGCGGAAAAAACCCACAGTCTCCAGAATTCCCGGTAGTAGATAGTGAGTGTGATTTCTGTTGCTGACTCTCCAGAAATGCCTTTTGAGGAAGTGAGAGTTGAAGCTGGCCTGGTGGTGGTTCTTAGCTACTCTCCCACCCTGACACACTCAGAATGACAACAGGCTCCCTGAGGAGGATATCCTGGGTTCCTGGAGGAATGGGGAGAAACAAGAGAGAGGCTGGAACTCCACCCCCCAACACTTGCAGGGCCTCTGCTTCCCAGCCAGCTGCTGAAGGCTAGCAGCCGATGGCAGATGGAGAACAGGGAGTCTGCCCAGGGTCGCATGTCCCGCTGAGGTGGCTTTAGAGTTAGAACGCACAGCGCTTAAATTTCAGACCCTGCATCCAAACTGCCTCCCACCTGCGTCATCAGAAGGGAAGTGCACCAGTAGCAGAGGAAAGAGGTGGGGGCATCAGGCATTCATTCATATATTCGCAGAAATGTACGGAGCGCCTACTGTGTTCCAGGTGATGGTCTAGGCACTGGACACAGTGGTAAAGACAGAGGCAAGGCCCTCGCTCTCGAGGAGCTTACACACTGGTGTGGGAGACAGACAGTGAACAAATGAACAAATAAGCCAAGAGACAGCCATCAGGGTAAGAGTCCATGGGCTCAGAAGAAAAATGCATTTCACATCTCAATCATGACACACTGCGGGGGTCTGCCTCCCCCCCGCAGTGACTGCCTCCTACTTC